ACACTTTGTATACAGTTTGTCGAGAAAAAAGTTTTAAGATTTTGTTTTTAATCTTAGACTAACCCACTACATATGACTGTCCAAAACAGTGAGAGGATAGACAGAAAATAGTCGGAAAAGACCAAGTTGCATAAATTATAAAATACAAATTTCCCTCCTTAAAAGAATTATCACTGTATTATTTCTGACATACTGAGAAATAATCTATATTACTATTTTTTTCCCGACAAATACACTGATGGACAAATTTAACGCACCACTCAATTTATTATATTTTAGTTTCATGTTGAATCCATTATCTTTCTACATTAGTTACAGGTAATTAAGAGCTACCGTTCAAAATAAAAAATAAATAATACTTTCTTTACTTCTTCTGTTTATTTTTTTACTGATTAATTCCATTTGCACAAAAAGTAGCATTATGCTATTCCATTCCGCCACGCCTGAAGATAAAACACGAAGTAGCCAGGAGATTGAATATAAATCACTCTACAATTAGAAACAAGGCTTCACACTCGAAGGTCAGGACAGGGGCGACCTGGGACTCCAGACGAGAGACGATAGATTCATCCGTCAGCAGGCTCCACAAAACCGTATCATTAAGGGAAATGAGATAAATTTGATAAGACAAGTCTGAAATGTTTCGATTTCTTGCAGGACTGTGAGAAGAAGGCTCAATGAAAATAACGACAAGGCCTGGGACCCGGCTCGTAGACTTCTTCTTACCACAGCTCAGAAAATGGCCAGGGTTCTATTCGCACAGGAACATGTGAATTCGACATTGGAAGATTGGGGGCAAGTTCTCTTTACAGGTGAGGTGAGAGTTGGCGTCAAATCTCAGGTGGCATACCACGGTCATTGATGTTCTGGGATGGCAGTTCCTTGGACGCCGGCACCTTATTGGTTTTCAGCGGGCAGCTATAGTGACTTCAAGCTTAAGTGGCTAGAGCAGCGGTCGAAGGTTGAGCCGAAGGTCGTGGTTCGAATCCCTCTCGTGACACCTGCTTTTTCATCTCAACCAAGTCCTTAGATTAAAAAAGTATAATTAAGTAAAATAATTAATACGGCAAATTACGACTACTAAATACATATATGGATTAATCTAACAGTTCTAATATTGACATGGCGCGTTGTGGATACTTCATGTTTTGGTTGTGGGTGGGTTTATGGCACGAAGAAACCAGCGAGAATGGGCGGACCGGATTAACGACGGACAACTCGCAGACCAAATAATAAAAAAAAAAGTGTTCAAACATCGAAACTCTTATCGTCTAACAGATCAAATTGGCGAGGATATGGCAGACGAGGTTGCTCGGAAACGGCCAGACTACGTCTTCAACACCGCACAGGGGAAAAAGGAAAGGTGAATAATAAATAGTCTACCTGCACAAAAGGATGTACGTTAACACGAATGCCATGTAAATTCTGACCTCAGGCTAGACTCGACTTACAAAGATTTTTTCGCCATTATACTTTTATCTAAAGAGGATAAATCTGGTTTTAATACAAGGGGAAAACTTGCCCAATATTCCACTCACTAACCTTCCACAACCAGACGGACTTGAACCCTTCCGGAGCCGCCACCCTTCGATTCCACCCCTCTGGAGAAACCTGCAACGCTTTAATAATACGCCACCCTTACCAGCTTTAAATCACTACACTTACTTTTCGAATTAAAAACATTAGCATAATTTTTAGAACTGTAGAGATCGTGTATATATTGAGTCTGCCGAATTACAAAAGTGCTATCTCAACAGCAGTTTTAACATCAACAATTACAACACATATATATTTAGTAGTCATACTTAACCGTATTAATTATTTTAATTAATTATACTTTTTATGTAAGTCTTGGTGTAGATGAAAATGCTAGTGTCACAAGTGGGATTCGAACCCACCACCTTTGGCTCACTGCTGCTCTAACCACTTGTGCTATTGTGATTTCTAACCACTGTGACACCAACTCCTCCTCTCTCACTAACAACTTTTCCCTCTTTTTGCTATGTTTTCAAAACTGGTGTAATCAGCATTCGATTTTTGGCAACTTTTGAAGAGAATATTCATAAATTAGCTTCTTTTTTTTTCAAAAACACTGGTAGGGTTCATATTACATCCTAGTTGGAACACTCCAGTAAAAAAATAAATAAAGGCTATTTCAAATTGGGGTGTATATGGCTATATATAAAGGCCTGTAATAAATTCTTGGAAAATTTTCTCAAATTGTAAAATTAATGGTATTCAACAGTCACTTACTTTAATTTTTAATTTTGCAAGTCAAATCTGAATTTAATGTTAAGCATTAGTGTATCCAGAGTTTCATTTGCATTTTAACATTGCTTCATGTCCATCCTCAGCATCTTTAGTAGCTTTTTTCCCCAATAAGGTCAAAATCGTCATCTTTAATTTTCAGTCAAATATTGTAGAACCAATTCACTTTCTTGGTGCAATAGAAAATGTTCATGCATTTATTTTGCATATATCAAATTCAACATCAGGAAAATCAAATATTTTGTTTAAAACAATGGGTGGTCATTTTGTAACTGCTTTACAAAGGAAATGAACTACCCCTGCTGCAATACTCACTTTGCTTTTTCAAGTCTCATATTCATCATATATTAAAAATTTGATAGTTTTCCAATCTAGAAAAAGTAGCTTTGTCATTTTACAATTAATTAAGGTTTTTAGTTGAGATAAAAGTCAATGGCACGAGCGGGATTCGAACCCACGATCTTCGGCTTGATACGCCGCTGCTCTACCACTTGAGCTATCATGACCTCAAGGCGTGTGGTCACGATAGCTCAAGTGGTAGAGCAGTGGTGTATCAAGCCGAAGATCGTGGGTTCGAATCCCGCTCGTGCCATTGACTTTTTTATCTCAACTAAAAACCTTAATTAATTGTAATATATTAATCGGTCAATCGGACCACGAAATTAGTGAATTTGTCATTTCAGTTGATTTATAAAAAAAAAAATATATCATTTATATAAAACTTACTTTCTTTATTTTACCTGTTGAACCAAACCTAATCATTATTAATCCATTTATATTTAGTGGTCTAATTGAACCCACAGAAATAAATGGGAGTTGGTGTCCGAGCGGATCGAAGTAACGATAGTTCAAGTGGTTCGGGTAGCAGCGTATTTAGCCAAAGGTCGTGGGTTCAAATCCCGCTCGTGACACTACCTTTTTCATCTCAACCAAGACCTTACATAAAAAGAATAATTAATTGAACTTTTTTTTTTCCTTGGACACACTATTGTATTAACTATTCCATATGATTTTCCAAAACTCAGAAATAAAAATTTATTATTGAAGTTTAACTATGTGTCTTAATTATTTTATGTAGTATATTGACTATCACAAATTTAAAACCTTAATACTCTTTTTATTAACTTGCTGCTACAAATATAAATTAAAAAATCTGGATATCGGTATCGTTGGGACGAAAAACAAATTATTAATTCAAATTGTCTGCCAAGCTTTTGACCTATTTTAAGCTTTTGCCTTGGAATATTGGGACTGTGTCAGTCATCAAAGAAATTTGAATCCATCTAGTAAAAACTTAATTATGACAATTTGTAGAAATCTTTAAGATTGTTTTGCCCTGATGATGACCTTAAAATATGTTGAAAGCTTGGCAGGTAACAATTGAATTGGTTTTTTGATTGAGACCATACCGTGACCAAGATTATTCATAAGAAAAAATTGGTCGATACATCTAACAATTTAAGCAAGTATACTTATTATATTACCAAAATAAACTCAATCCATTAGGCAGGTTTCAATTCAATGAGGCTACTTGTAGATAAAACATTTAATTACATTTGAATAGCAAAACAATGATTCCATTTTCACAAAAACTGAAAATTTAAATTACTCAAATTTATGTTACTCCCTACACTTGACAATGTAACACTGTCTGAAGTGAAATAGATATAACAAGCATTAATACTAATTAAATTTAAAGTATTTGTGATGTAATAAGATTTTATGCTTTTATGAAAAATTGCTGTAATATGGAAATGTCGCAGGTAATAATACGTACCACAATTCTTACGGTAGGATTAGACAGTAATCTAAGTGAACATTGAAATTTTTCCTCATTTATGATTATTGAGTATAGAGTAATTTGAATAATTTAGCTTCCTTATACTAACGTTCCATTTTTTCCATGTAAAACTATAATTGTTCTAAATAGAAGGTAACAAAATAGTATTATACATTAATAGATATTCTGTATTTTTCTACGCTCATTATTTAAGACTGATATAACATTGTAATTAAAATATATGTATATATTTACAATATTTGGTAATATACACACAAATTACATATCTCACAATTAAAAAGTAAAAAAAAGGTATACAGCTATTGGTTAATATACATTTTGGTATTAATCTTATATACAAAAAAATGTCTAGTTTATAATTTTATCAAAATATGACACACATCTATGGCAGGAAATTCATTCATCAACCACATTTAAATATAAATATATAATTGCTATATAATATATATTTTTACAATCTTTACAAAATGAGGTGAATTAGCAGATAAATTAGGATGAAATTTGAAAATGTTATTTTAAATATGGCACTACTGATTTTTTTTAAATATTAAGCAATTTTACTGAGCATTTCCCTTTGTTGGCCGATAATTTACTTTGTGCCTGAAATATTTATGAATATTGTCAATCTGAGAATCAAAACAATAATCGTAAAACCTATCAACATCAGTTCTTATAACTTTAAATGATCGATAATATCTTTATAATTATTTTGAAAATATATTAAACGCTATTGTACCATAAATATATCACATCAAAGTTATTATTGAAATTAAAACAAGACTAATTATAGAAATAATACTGTTAACAACAAAAATAAGAATTTGTCGATATATTGTATCCAAAGTATTGTTTATTAAAGAGCTATGTAAAATTATTACGATGTACACTCCTTAAAAGAAGTTAAATTGAATTGGTTAATATAAAATAAACTATTTAAAAATTCATAATTATAAATAAACATTCACATAATTTATTTGCCTAATTTTTTCTTTTCTTAAAAATTAAAGTCCAATGCCTAGAAGAAACCGGGGTTTGTGTGTTCTATCACACACCTTTTGCAGTATTTCTTGACAGCCCGGTATCCCTCGATAGATATTTGGCAGTCTTGGATGTTGAGCTGCTGGAGGCCGCGACAGTAATAAGCCACGCATTGGACACCTCGATCCGTTACGAGTTCACACAACCGCAGACTGAGTTTCTTGAGGTTCGGGCACGACTGGGCCAGAGCTCTAAGTCCTGCGTCGCTTATGTCACATTTGCCAACGTCGAGCGCTCGTAGCCTTGGACACGATCGGGCGACCACCGTCAGAGAGTCATCGCTTACAGCTTCACAGCCCCTTGCATTTAAATAACGAAGCTTGTAACACCTTCTAGCGATCACTTTCAATCCAGCATCGCTGACCTAAAAGACAATTGAATTTCGGACATTTTAATAACAGAAAATTTAAAGGATTTTATAACTTCACTAAATTCATTAATTTCGTGGTCCGCTTGGCCAGTTAATATATTCCAATTAATTAAGGTTTTTAGTTGAGATAAAAAAGTCAATGGCACGAGTGGGATTCGAACTCACGATCTTCGGATTGATACGCCGCTGCTCTATCATTTGAGCTATCGTGACCTCGATCGCCATTGACTTTTTTATCTCAACTAAAAACCTTAATTAATTGTAATGTATTACTTGGTCAAGCGGTTCACGAAATTAGTGAATTTAATGAATTAAAATGAAGTACACTTCACTAAAGCCCTCGGTGGCCATTTCATTTGTCGTCGAGAATCCAATCCGATTACACGACATTTGAAAAATGGCAAAAAGGAGGGAAAATTCAAAAGGTGCGGTTGAGATGGGAAGTTGGTGTCCGAGTGGATCGAGGTCACGATAGCTCAAGTGGTAGAGCAGCGGCGTATTTAGCCGAAGGTCGTGAGTTCGAATCCCGCTTGTGACACTCTTTTTTATCTCAACTAAAAACCTTAATTAATTGTAATTATTTATAACATTAGTAAAACCACATGTAGTTGTAAATTTCTATTAATTCGCAATAATGGCGATTGCAAATTGAGATTTCAAAAATAAAATTTTCAATAAATTCAGGGTGGACCCTTGCATTCAAGAATTTAAAATTAGATACTTATAGTATATGTAGTAAATTAAAGTTGTATAAATTAGCACCAGTCCATTCATAATTAGGTAACTATGAAATCAACATTAGATTGGCATACTTAACTCTATTTACAAAATCCACAACACAACAATCAAATTGGACAAAACGGAATCAATAGATATGCAAAACTCGAGCACATTTCAAAAGTAATAATTTGAACATTACTGATTAATGAATTAATGGGAAGAGTGAGGATTATTTTAGACTGCACAATTTGGGTATGTTGGGTTTAATTTTTGAAAGACGGAGGCGGATGTCGGGTTCAGCATTTAGACACCTTTGGTATTTAGTTTTGGTGGCTGTACAGAGAGAAAATCCGGATTTGGATGGATAAGTTGTGACAAATTGAAGAAGAACAAGTTCTGCTTTTTCAACGAGCAGTTAAATTTTTTTTGTGTTCTAGACGTAGTCAAAAATGGGGCTAAGTATCGGACTCAAAAAAACATTTCAACGTGGAGTCTGAAGTACATCTATCAAACATTCGTATTCAGTTGATAGACTGGTTGACTTTGTCGAAATTGAAAATGGTTTGTCCACCCATTCATGGTCTTGCAGCATTGATTTCAAGCTATTGCTCGTGGCACTAGCATTTTCATCTCAACCAAGCCCCATAAAAAGAATAATTAATTGAAAGAAGTAACTTGGTCAATTCACCACTAAAACATAAATGGGTGTTCACATATTTCATTAATCAACGTGCTGTTCACAAGCTTGTTAGTTTTCTTTGTTTTTTGTTAAAAAACGAAAAAAAAAACATATATCTCACTCGTCAACGTTTGGGAAGTCCCATTTTATACTACTGGCTATTTAGGAATATTATTTTATTTTATGTTATTAGAAAAGTGATATAAGACAACAAAAAAATAGGTATATAAACCAAAATTAATGCCCAGTCCAATAACAGTTTTCAAGGGTCGTCACTGGTTAAGATCCCGGGTTCAAATCCAGCAACCCAGCATTTGAACCCAACCTACTTACAAAAAAAAATTTTTTTTCAAAAACTATCATCCCAAGGTTCGTATAACCTATTAGTTGTAATACCCTCATAAAAAATATTTAAAAAAGAACAGTTTTTGGGTTGTCACAAGTGAGACATGGGCCGAGCATTGTAGTGTAACAGAATCTGCCTTTTCCCACTGTCCCAACATTTAATAATGTCCATTTCTGATGCAATGCTTCAATTTGAGAGCAATACATTACGACATTGACTGTTTCGCCAGGATTGAAGAAACTGAAGTAAATCAACCAAAATGAAGTGCACTAAAGAGACACCATCACTTTTTTTTATGTTGTGGGGCATTGGAAAATGTAGTGCTGCTTCTCCTTTGTCAATCCAATGTCCAGAACATCCACTGTTATAGAAAATCCACTTTTCATCACAAGTAACAATTCTATCAAGAAAAGGTTCTGTTTTGGCAAGGAAGTATTGCACAAACTTCATAACAATGATAATGAATTAATCTACAGAATAAAATTGTAGTAGCAACAATCAATGATCTGATACTTTTTAAGAAGGGTTGAGTCCAGCACTGAACTAAGGAACGAGGAAGGTACAAGGCGTACGCCAGAAGCCTGCAGTGCCTGGGGTGCACAAACCCCACTTCCTATTATCCTCGTTACCATACCACAATGCATTAGGAACCAAACTTTCGAGCTTTTTCACCATTCTAATTCCCTTAAGGTGGTCTGCGGCGGTCGATTTGCTAACTGAAAGATTCTCTGCAATTTATCAGACAGTCTCCCTCTTGAATTTTTATAAACCATCTCTGAACAGTTATCACTCACACTGCCATCGTCCCAGACTTCATTAATGTTTCTATTTCATGTTTTTTGTTATGTTTCATTTTGGCACCAAGTTTAAACTCATAAAAGGAAATTAAGCGAAAATCATGCGTTGACAGGTTAGTAAATACTGGATTATTATTCCCAAATAACAAAATGCTACTAAGGTAGGCAAACATTTTTGTTTGGTAAAGGATTAAAAAGTGTTGACATTCATAAAAAAGAATAATCCATCAAATGTAACCAGTTTATTACATGGGGGGGGGAATTGAATTTCCGGACAACCCAAAATAAAATGTCTGGTCTTTTCCAATCACGTGGTGTACATTTCCTCGCTGTTTTAGTTTGTCAAATGTCTTTCACCATCTTAGGTGGCCAGTTAGTTTTGAGACTAACTAAAAATAAGCAAAGGCAGACAAGGTCAATTGGAAGCAACTAAAGGTTAGTCAAATCACAGACCTCAAGAAAAAATCTCATAATTATGGTTTAGGGTGTTCATCAATAGTGAACAGCAGTGCTCTACGATGAATGAGGATGAATAGGAATAGTTTTATTTTAACAGGCTACACAATTACCAATATACAAAGCAATAACAAAAGGGTGGTACATCCAGGAAATTGAGCAGCTGGCTTCTATTTTAATTATTAGTTTGAAGCATTGTATAACTATTTGATTTAAGCTGTTTGTGTCTATTAAATAATATAAATTTTCTAGTGGTCCAACCGTTTTTATTAAGAATAGGTTTATAAGTAAATTGAAAATTTTTTTAATTTTTTTCCTAACCTTTCAGGGAATTGGTTTTAACATGCAAGCATAACCTGCCAACGTACTGTGATAGCACTTTATCAAACTAGTTATAGCCATTTAAAATTATTATAAAGCAAAAATGAAAATCATAAAGTAAAAACAAACTGAATATTTGGTACTTTAGTAAAACTGGGAGATTTCCTCCTACGGTCTGCGGTTATTAATTACCTATCAATTTCGTCTGCGTATCCTCAACAATTTAATCTGTCAGACACGGCAGTATCAGCAAGGACAGGTAGACCAAGATGATAGGTAATTTTAAAACTTTAGTAATAATTTACGATGACCAACATCAAGATTTGACTTGAGGCTATGAGTCGATCAAATTTAGAAAAGTCAAGCTGTTAAAACTTGTTATTTGGTCTAATACAACAGGCAAAATACAAGCGCGAGGACTTAGAGGAACTAGGCTGAGTTGCTCGTTAGATCAATTCATTTATATAGTGTATATAGTATGGCAGGAGTTCTCAGAAAGGATTTCACATGGTGGAAGTGAGGAGTGCCATTGAGGTCCTTATCTTTTAATCAGGAAGACAGAACAAGGTCAAAAGTTCTGAAAAACCAGAGATTTGAAAATATTGGTGTTACAGACATTACAGACTATTAAACATTATATCAAATGAATTTACTTAATAGATATTTAATTATAAATTATTTTTACCTCGTTCTTTTATACATAAATTATGTTAATTAGTAAGCCGAAGTTGTTAATTTCACTTTAAATAATAGCAAATTTGAAACATGTTCTAGGAAGTGGTTATATTTGTCATATTCATATGTAAATTCTTCCATTTCTCATACAGCATTCCAAGTCAGAATGACAAATTTTTTAAAATTCCAAATGACAGATGTTAAACCGTGATAATCGAAAGCTTGCATTCTCAAACCCTCGAGAGGATTTACCTTTTTGAAAAAGCTAACCATTCGTCTTCATTAAATTGAAAAATTACCAACTCACCCTGACACATTTTGCGACCGAGAGATACCTCAGTGTCGCTCCGAGTTTTGCCAATTCATAAAGGCCAAAATCGGTCACCTGCATACAGTCAGATACCGAAAGCTCTCGAAGCCCAGAACAAAAACTTGGCACAAATTTAATTCCAGCGTCTGCAAACAAGTTTTAATTAGATAATTTTTTAATTAACTATTTAGAAAATAATTTTCATATAATAAGAAAGAATAAAACCTGTGATTTTTGTGCATCGCCGGAGATATAAATATACAAGTTGCGGACAGTTTCGAACTACTACTCTCAATCCTCCATCATCAACTGCTGAACAATCTACACAGAGATATTTGAACGATTAAATTTAATTGCAATTGTATTTGTAACACAAAAATGGCTCTTTATTTGACAAAATTCAAGTTTATGATAGTGATGAATTCTCAAATTGAAAATTATTGGTTTTGGGTTCCGCTCTGGACTTACGAAAAAAAAACTTGTTCTGATCCAATAATTTTCAACTATGATTTCATAATGGTTTGAGATATACGAATAATAAAACAAGCAGTTCATTGATAGTAAAGTACACACTACAACTATTGAAAATTTGAAAATATATTTAAAAATTACTAAATTTACCTGTCAGATCTAGATATTGTAGAAGTAGACGTCGAGGCGGCTCAGGTCCTGGTGTCACACTAATGCAAGATATTTTCACACACCCTACAATAACCACAAAATGTATTAAATCTAGTCTCAATTATATTTTAATTTTTGTAAGTGACAAAATTAATACATAAAACAAAACAAAAATAAATAAAGCAGTAATAAATGTAACCCCTAAGTTAGTAGCATCTCTATAAAACTGTCCAACGGGATTTACGATATCACCATTCCATACTCTACAACTGTTCACAGTTCGGGGATTATTTTAACTGAAAAAGTTTCCTGGCAGACTCAAGTTTCTGCAATTTGTAAAAATTTTCCTTTGATCTGTACTCTCTTAAAAAAGACTTTTAAACCTTATGAAGTACCACACAGGCTAGCATTTTTTCTCATTTTCCTACAGTTTCTCTATTGCGATTCTCATTTTAGTCAGACACTTGATGCAAAAGCAAGTCACTGGTTCAATGTCACTTTTAGCACGGTTATTGCATCGCTTGCACAGTGGCAATATCAATGAAGTTCTACTGAGAAAAGATTGAGTTTAAAACTTTACTAAAACACTGCATGCTTTGATCATATATCTCATCTTGAGTATTCGTAAAAAATTATTACAAATTGAAGATTGTTTCACTTATTTTCAAAATTCTCGCCAATTCCTCTGCCCTTTATTTTCTGTCATTAATCTCATTAAGCAGTACTAAATAAAATAAATAAAGTTTACTTCCTTTATTGTAGAGAGTATTGTACTCAATCTCCTAGTGACTTCATGATGTATCTTTAGGTGTAGTGGTATAATAATAATAATAATAATTTTATTTGTGAAAAGTACAGTACATACAATAAGATAAAGTATACAAAGAAAAAAAAATTAAAGATAAAATAATAAAACAATAACTAAAAAATTGTCATTTAACCGATCTTCACATTTTCGCCTGTCACTGAAAAGCAGTGCTTGTAACAGGTGGCAGGAGTTATGTCAGTGAATAAAATTACTAAAAATTAAATCAAAAGAGCTTAGAAAGTGTATAAGACAAAATAAATGAAATAAAAAATAAAAATAATGAAGTTAGACAAATAAAAACAAAATGCCATAAATTAAAATAAATAAAATAAAAATTAAAAAATACAATAATTGCCATATGATGCAAAATATAGCTTAAAGAAAGTTAAAATTATAAGTATAAAATGTTTATAGTAATAAAGATTTTGAAATCATAAGGAGAATTAAATTTGATCAAAGTCATTTTATAATTTTAAGAAACCTAAAAACAACATTTAATGAAAAATTAAAGAAAAGATTAGTTTATTTTGGATAACAAAATTTCCAAAGTCTTTTTGATACTAATTGTTTGATTGAGCAAACAGGTTATTTTTAAAGACATACAAACAAGAACATTTTGTAAATAATTGTTTAAATTATTATTATTCGGAGATCGTGAGATGCGGTTTTTCTTTTTTTTATGAAGGTTCGCAACAACAGAGGTCGTATAAACCCTCAGGGTGCCAGTGTTTTTGAAGTACGTCGGGTTCGAATGCAGGGCCGCTGGATTCGAACCCGGGACCTTTACCTTACAGTGACGAGCGCCATATCAACGTCTAAACCGTTGCGGCCACCGACGCCCCGACGTAGGTTTTACAAAAACCCTTTCTTCATCATGCCAACGTTTCGATCTTTATTGAGATCATCTTCAGGGCTCAAAGTGTGTTTTCTGCGTAATTGTGCCATTCTTGTGTGTCGTGTTGAGAGTGGCACTCCGCTCTCCGTGGCCATTTCATTTGTCGCCGAGAATCAAATATCGGGTTGTCCGGAAAATAATGCAGGATTTTAAGTTTTCATTAAAAAAAATCTATATAAAATATTCTGTTTACGTTNTGGGAAATTATTTTGATTAAAGAACATTGCTTTAAAGTAACTAGTTTCTTTTTTTTTGTTTAATACCAAAATCCTGCATTATTTTCCGGACAACCCAATAGATTACACGACATTTGAAAAATGGCAAAAAGTAGGGAAAATTTTAAAAAAGGTGGGGTTGGGATGGGAAGTTAATGTCCGAGTGGATCGAAGTCACGATAGCTCAAGTGGTAGAGCAGCGGCGTATTTAGCCGAAGGTCGTGAGTTCGAATCCCGCTTGTGACACTCTTTTTTATCTCAACCAAAACCTTAATTAATTTAAAATAATTTATTTGGTCAAGCGGACCACGAAACCTAATAAAAAATTATTTATAATTTATGTAAGGTTTTGGCTGAGATGAAAAAACTAGTCTCTAGATATTAAGTACGCAGTGGGACGAAAATTTTCGCAAAGCGTCAGAGAAAATTCAGCACACCTCGGCCATAGTGTTAAAACAGTTTTCACACGCTTAAAATTAATCAGAAATGTCAACAATCTCGATACATAGAGGTAGATCTATTCAATATTCACTATTTAAATTTTAGCGATTCGAAAAGTAATAATAATAATGTGTGGTGTTTAGTGACTGTTAGTTAATTTGGAGATCGTGAGATGCGGTCTGGTGTGACGTAGGTTTTAGAAAAACACTTTCTTTATCGTGTCAACGTTTCGATCTTTATTGAGATCATCTTCTGGGCCTGGGATTCATAAACATTGTTTAAATTATAAAATAAATTTAAGTTGTGAAAAATGAATTTATACAATGATAGAAATTCATTTTTTCACATTTTACATGTATTGTATCATTAAACAATGTTTATGAATCCCAAGCCCTGATGATGATCTCATTAAAGTAAGGCATAATAAACTGATTTTTACGATTTTAAATTTGGGATCTTTCTTAATACGCTGAATTTTCTAAGAAAAGGAGTTTTCTAAGTCGGAATGGAAGGGCATAATGCTCTTTTTTGTGCAAATGGGATTAATCAGGACAAAAGTAAACAGAGCAAGTAAACCAAGCATTATTTACTCCTAATTACCTGTAATTAATATATAAAGATAATAGATTTAATTTTAAAAGAAATAAATTCACATAAATTTATCCATCGGTCCTATACCTATGCATTGTTTTATTTTCATTTTGTTATGTTACTAGTTACAATTTCGTTATTATAAAAACTCAAATGTCTATGCAGAAATGAAAACAATAAAATATATAAAGAGGATTTAGTTATTTAAAAAATATTAGTCAATAACTCGTATCAGTATAATGAACCGTAAACGGAACCAGTGGGACTGTGGGAATCCAGTTGCAGTCTGAAGAAACGTCGAGCCATCCGTCAAAGGATGAGTGATCTTCCCATTTATTCACGGACGGTGTGGGACCGCGAGCGGTGCTATATGTCTGTCTGCCTTTGGTAAAAATGTACTTTTCCACGGCCTCCTCCCGACATCTGGGGACTTGCCCTTTGAGGAAAGACCAACGCTTGATTTATTTAGCCCGCGGGCTTGATGAGCGGTAAATTAATCATGGCCGACTTGAAGAACTCAGGATGGATTGATGGCTCTCGGCCGCGATGGGCTTCGACCCAACGGAAATGGATCATAGTTCACATTCAAACACGATTCCTATTCCAAACTCGTTCTTCACGTTTTCTTGGTTTTTAACATTAACTTTTACCTGCTGATAATTCATTGGGTTTAACATCACAATTTCTTCCACTGTGGCAGACCATAAAATCGATTCTATTGTAAGGGACAGCTTGCGGATTTTGAGTAGCACCCTTACACAAAAAACGGTAATTACACCTCAGATGTATCAAGAAATTACGACTTACATATCAGATTTATAAGAGACTTTGACACGGCGTTCATTACTGTAAGGTAAAGGTCCTGAGTTCGAATCCAGCGGTTCTGCATTCGAATCAACATACTTATATACCCCCCCCCAAAAAAAAAAAAAATCGGCACCACGAGGGTTAATATAACCTAATATATAAGAGACTCAGCACTTAATCGGGCTTAAAGATGACAATAACAAAAATGTATCTATCATCTCGATTATAAACACCTCTCAATATAATTGTCTATGGGTAAAAACATTGGTCTATGAAAAAATAAAATCATAAACATTTCCGGTAAGTCTGGTACACATATTTTTTCTTTAACTTTTTTGCACATTTACATTACTATATTAATATACAACATATATAAAAATATATTATATTAATAAAATTAACTGTACATTATTCAGAAATCGTGAGATGCGGTCTGGTGTGATGTAGGTTTCAGAAAAACATTTTCTTTGTCGTGCCAACGTTTCGATCTTTATTGAGATCATCTTCAGAGCCTGTTTACATTTAACAAATACATTTAGAATGTGGAAAAGTGAATTTATACAATGCAAAATATATTTCTTTTATAGTCGATCAAAAATTCACTTTTCCACATCCTAAATGTATTTGTTAAATGTAAACAATGTTTGTAAATCCCAGGCCCTGAAGATGATCTCAATAAAGATCGAAACGTTGGCACGATAAAGAAAATGTTTTTCTGAAACCTACATCACACCAGACCGCATCTCACGATTTCTGAATAATTATCGATTAACGGTCACTAATCACCACACATTAACTGTACATACAAGTGGACTTCTCAACAATGTGTAAACTTTAATTCATTTATCACTCTAAGGTATCTTGGTATAAATTGGTCAAAAAAACCAAATACAACCAACAGAATATTAAATTTTTATTCATCACACCCAATTAAACAAAAAATTAATGTAGTATATAATTTCGTAATCGAAATTTTAGTTTTTTCAAATTATTGATATTAGATTTTATAAAAATAAACGACAATTTAATAAAAACTTAAGAAAATAATTTTTAAAAAACTACTAGAAAAAATAATTGCAAAACAAAAATTAAATTATTATAACTTTAAGAAAAAATAACAACAATGATAAAGATATGAACAGAAAAAATTATACTGGTATGATTTATGTACAAGGTATAACAGAAAAAACTATTAGCAATCCTTAAAAAAAGAAAAAGCAGCAGTGTTAAAAAATAGATCATACCAACATTGTACATAAAATGGAGTAATAATGACAAAGCATTATAAGCATATACTTATATATATACTTATAAGCATGATGTAAGT